TGGGCTCAGATGATGAAATCTACAGGGAGGGACGGGTCACACTTCCTGGGTTCAGCACGTTGAACTGCACTGATGGAGTCCCTGAACACTGACCGACAAATACCTGAAGCAATAAATTTTAATGAGTCTGCAAAATGCTGAATATTTCTTAGAAAATGGACCAAAGTATTGCAATGTTTTCTTAGATTAATTTGTTTAATTCCCAATATTTAATTATGTATATAATCAATCATATTTTGACAGTAAAACTACAGAAGTGGGCAGAAAACTTGATTCAAGGATAAAAATCGTTTTGTAATTGTCATTTTCTTTTTAACCCAAAACAAACAAAACTTTTGAGGTTAAACAAATTTTCATAATYAATATAAATAAATTACAAGTTAAAAATGGCATGGACTTGTATCGTTGCACCCCATATGAACAGTTGCTGTGTTTTTGTTTTCTCTTGTTGCAGGTGTGGAGTCAGACTACAAATGTGTTGTCTTGTGTTTTCTTAATGCATCTCTTATATCTTCTTGTTTTATCARTCTCTTTCTTCACTTTTGTCCTTTTTCTCCTGTTTACTTTTTCCATCCCCRTGTCCGTTATAATGAATTAATCCCCAAATATTTTATAATAAAAGATTTAAATATATATCAAGTGGAACAGCAGGGTGAAATGCCATTATGCTGCACTTGTGAAAGTAAAACTATTGGGCTTCATTTGGACACTCAGACATCAATTCTGAGTTTCAMATTGCCAGACAGGACACAGTTAAAAAAAGATGATGTATGCCCAATATTTACAGGGTTTCTTTAAAACCTATCCAGTGGTTCTCAAGATATTTTCCTACAATGCACACGTTTCCCTGCCTCTTGAACCCACAAGTCTGTTTTTGGTTTATGGTATTTTAGGCACCAAAACATTCATTTATTTTCCTTACTTCGAATTCAAAATCCTCCTGAACCCCACCTGATTAAGCGGTGGTTGCGGGGGCAAAGGGGGGGTTGTGGTTGTTAGGTGTTGCTTATGGGTGGCCTGGCTGGCTTCCTGAAACTTGCTGGCTTTGTTAGTGTGCCGCAAGGACAGCGGGAGGTTCGGTTCAAATGAGCGCAAAATCCTGATAAATCCTGGTTCTTAATTTCCTCAGTTTAYATGTAAATAAATGACCTGATCATGTCTTCATATGTTTGGAGCATAAATGAAAATCAAACAAATGTATGAAGATATTTAGAGAACAATCAGGTCGTCAGTGTCCCAGGTGATCAAAGTTAGGATGAAACTCGTGACTCCTTGAAGGAATGCATGACAGTCACCACCTTGTACGGAAATCTTTAAGTACAGCTTTGTAACGATGAGATGGCAATTTTTTTAAAACAAAAGGAATCCGGTTCAATAACAAAAGCCTGCAGAGACAAGTTAATGATCTAATCCTCACATCTGCAGGGCATTTCCACAATGGCATCATCAAACTGGTTGAGCAAAAGTCTAGGATTTTTTTCAGTGGGCTGATGTTTGTTTTTTTAATAACCACAAAACAGCAGATTTATAAAAACAAATACTTTTAAATGACATTTGAGACAGTAGAAGGAAGCTGGAGATGAGGGGTTGAGTTTTAAAACCATGTTTGTTCTCAATGATATTCATACTTCTTGATGTCTGTTTGTATTTGCCCTACAACCTGGAAATTACCTAATTTCCCTCTGGGATCAATAAAGTATTTTTGAATTGAATTTGAATTGAATTAATTGGACTTTTAAACTGATCAAAAATATTAATCTTAAAAAATTAAAAATTCAATAAAAATTATATTCTTGATAGAAATATGTAAAAAAAAAACTTAAAAAGGGGGGGAAAGGTGTGTACGCTCTCCACTCATTCTATTTATAGAACAACAGTGGCATGCATAAAGCTGTTTCACTTTCAGAACTCATTCCAAACCACTGAAGTGATCTGCTTCACACAAGTCAGTCATGTTTCTTTTTACTGCTGCATCTTTAAGAAAACACTGCTTTTTTTAATGATTTCTTCAGCTTTTAATCCACTTTGGCCACTGCTGGCTATTATTTTATTCTTTTTTTT